TGAATTGCCTTATAGCTTTTTAGAAAACTCTATTCTCTTCATTTAAGTCAGTTATTGACGACACAGTGGTGAAAATGGCTATACAATTGGCCGTATTTATACAACAGCACAGAACAGAGAATAACCCATCACATATAATCATGAGATTATAAAGAAGCTTTTTGTCTCTTTGACACACTCTAATGTATTATCTCATTTAAAGTCTTTGTGTTTAGCTAAGTGTATACAATTCAAATAGTGACATGATAGAGTGGCCCACCAGATTTAGACTGCTTGGATTGCTGGAATCCTAGTTTCACCAATATTGTCTATGTTACTTTGGGTAGGTTTTCAAATTTCTCTATGCCTCAGTTTCCTCATCCATAAAATAAGGATAACTATTATACCCACCTCATCAGATTCCTGTGAGTATTAAAAATGAGAATATGTGTAAAATACTTAGAAACTTCTGGACACTTAATAATCAGCCATCTTCTTCTGCCTCCTCCTCCTCCTCATCTTAATTACCATCATCTTTAGATGGGGTATGATTTGTACAGGAAAGCCTCAGCTACTCTGGATGACAGCAGAGGAGTAAAAAGTATGGGTATACAAAATGGAAATGTAGGACAAAACTGCTACCTCTCAAAGAAATGCATTTGTGGTAGAGGCTGGATGAATGCTCTCCATTTCCTTATCCTAGTAGTATAGGAAGACTATATTTCCCATCATTCTGACAGATATACTAGGGTATGTCATTGATTTCCAGCCAAGGGCATCAGAGTGGAAGTGATACATATCACTTCTAAACCAAACCATATATTTTCATGGTCACCCACTCATATTCTTTCCCATATCTGATAAACTCAGATGTCCTTTATTTAAGATAGTAGCCCCAAGAGTGGAAGGAGCAGGGGTCCCTGCATTCACTGCTGTAGAGTCAAACATCCTTTATCAGAATGAGTCATGAGCAACAGAAAACGCTGTCATGCTAAGCCTTTGAAAATTTTGAGTTTATTTGGTTCAAGATCCTATTCTTGTTTTTTTATACTGATTACTAAGCTAATACCACCCAGCTCTAAATCAGTTCTTCTCTATTCCACTTTAAGATGCTGGAGCTAGGGGCTTTCAAACCAGATTTCTCCTTTGACATTACCTCTTGGTCAAGTTCTGCCAATACTAGGGTTAATGAAAACTAGAAGACAGGGAGAGAAAATGGATTAACTTCTTGCTTACCCTGTTTCTGCTAGTGTCATCTCAGCAATGACTTTTTAAGTCACTTTTTAAGTGGAAGGTGGGTCCAGTCTTTACGTTTTCTTCATACTCCTGGAACTATCATATTACACCATCCCCCCTTCCTCCCACTTAAATATGTAAGGACTGAGAAGAACATCTCCTTCATGGTCTAGGTCTAAGACCCTCAGAGCCTCTCCCCTAAGCTCAAGTTCCCTGCATCAGTTGAGAAGCATTCCTCCTCCAAGTCTGAGGGGCAGTTCTGAGGGACCTCTCCTTCAACCTCTTAGGTTCCAGTAACTTCTGCCTCCTCCCACTGTTAGCTCTCTGTGTGGGTGTTTGTTACTTCTTGCAATTACTAAACATGTATACCTGTTTTGTTTTGTTTTTTACTTTTTCAGTGTTTCAAGAGATGATTAAATAAATGTTCATATTACATTCTTTGTTAGAATTACTGTTGTCTATTTTCCTTACTGCGCCCCAACTTTTACAATTATTCAAATATAGGAATTGGTAGCCAAAGCCTGTGCTACCATAACAAAAACCTAAAATATCTGGCTTAGGTGTTAGGCAATGGGTGGTGAGGAAATCAATTTCAAAAGTAGGAAGCCATCTATCTATATGATGTTTTGGCAAAACTCTTGGCAAAAGAGCTATTTTTTTAAATTGAATCAACTTGAGAGGCTGACAGTGGGCCTGCTGGGCTGGCAGCACTCTAAACAGACTGAAAAACAAAACTTAATAATGTATGTTAATGATTATTGGCTACATTCAGCAAAGTGTTATAAAAATCTCAGGAACTAGCGTAAAAGCAGATCTGTTTTGGAAGGCCTATTGGACGAAATGTCTGGCTTCTTCTAAACCCTAAATGATGGGATATATGACATTGATGTAAGTGTTGAGTAACAAAGATGCAGTAAAAATTTACATTTGTATAAAGTCACTCCAGGCAAATATGAGATTTAGAGCTGACACTGAATAAAACATCTCAGTTGAATAAAGTATCTCTGTACAAAGATCAGGTTAAGGATGTAATCCTCCAGCCTAATTTTCAAGACAATATCATCTTGAGAGAGAGACATGTGAGAAGAGAAAGTCAAGGGCATCCAAGAAAGAACTTCCTTAGACACATGGACTATCAGGGAGCAAAGAGATCAGAATCCTATAAAGCTTTCTGAAAACTGTAGTTTCAAAATACCATGATACCAGAAATATGAACCTTAAAATATTTAAGACTTAAAACAACTCTTGCTCCCATAATTTTCCCAAAAAAGGAAAAAAATATTTTAAGGCTATATAACCCTAAATAGGCAATTTAAATGTGGACAAAGAGAATAAAAGAAAATGAAGACCTTCTCAGAAAGCACATCTAGAGACCAGAGAGAACCACGAACAAAGAAGATCTTCCATGGAGCAGGGTGAAAGCCTATTCAAGGATCCTCCCTGATCTCTATGTTAGGGAGACTTTATAATGATTGTGCAGCAGGATTTCACCTCTGATTTCCATGTATTTCTGATTCTTTCTTTTTTCAAGCATGAATATTACTGTTGTTTTCCTCTTCCTACTCATCTCCTATACATTGAGTATATATGTATGTTGGGAGCTGTTTGTAAAATACAGATAACTGATTCATAGGTGATTCACCATCATTATCATTCGATGAGGACAATAAATAACCAGTGATCATGGACTTGAGCTGAAACTAGTGACTGCAATATTTTTGTTATTTCTCTTGGAAAATAATAATCCTTTTTCATGAGGGAGTGGAAACATGACATGAATATTTGGCAACCAGAAGGAAGGTCTATGGAAATGATGGCCTAGGTGCTCCCTAATTACATCTGCTCTACCTCGTCATGTAGCTTCCTAACATTTACCAGCTTCTCTTGCAGTTCAGATGGGGTCATAAGACTATGTTTGGTCAATGGAAGGATATGCACACATTCAAGGCTGCACAGTGGCCCCCACAGTGTCTTCCTTTTCCTTGGGGACGTAAGAAGCCATGTGCTTAAGGAGGCAGCATCAAAAGATAAAAGGAGCACGTATCTCTAAATCATCATTTGACAATGAAGGAGAGCTGCCAACATACATTGGCTATGACATAAGAAAGGCATAGTTTATTTTTCTATGCTAAGAAACCAAAACGTTGAAATTAGGTTACAGTGGCTAGAGGTTATCCACCTAATACAGCATTACATTTTTAAATATTACTTACTGGATTTATTAAATTGGTAACATGACTTTTCTTTCTACTAACAGTATCTGGATGGGAAGAAAATGTCATCAAGAAAGTGAGGCAGCATGGTGTAGTGGAAAAATCCTTGTCTTGAGAATCTTGGCTACTAGCAATCTTTTTTTTTTTTTTTTTTAAATCATTTACTAGCTAAGTGACACTGGAAAAGTCAATTAATTTCCCCACAGTCCACATGTGGAAAATTAAGCTAATATTGGGTTACCCAATAATAGGAGAAATCCAGGCCAAAAGTTTTACCTAGGATTTTTATGGTTTTTATCTATGGTTCTATGAAATACAAATTAAGGACTAAAACCATTCTAATAAAAGCACAGAAGTACTTTTTTTTTTTTTAATTTTTAGCTTTTACATGCCTGACAAGTCCAGCTTTATATATAAATATTGTGTAACACATGTTTAGATGGTGTTAACTCATGCCAAGAAGTTTTACTGAAAATAATAATTTACCAGAAATTGTGTTAGAGTAAGATAAAACAGTACAGATGATAATTTCAAAAAATCTATTTCCCAGGACTTTGACCATCTAATTGTGTTGCATACATTTCTTCATACGCTTGGCCCTCTCCTCACAATCTAAGATGATGAAACTTAAGCAGGATTCCGCTTCTATGTTTTGTCAACTGAATACCTATTTCTTCACATGGTTTCTCCTGATATTCACTCAGTAATGTTTGCTCAGGATCATTATTTCTACTTAAAATAACAGAAATTATCAAATAACTCAAGAGCAAAATATAAACCTAAAATCTTTGCTCACATTTAATTATATGTTCATCAACTAATAAGTCAGGCTAATGAAAGACACTCATGTCCATATAAAATGGCAAAACAACTATTAAAATATATCTAACACGTCAATTTGAAACTTAGAGACTGAATGGAATTTGTCCTCTTTAAATCAAAATGAAGAATGTTGCAGCCAAATCTAAACAAAGAATGCATAAAACCCCTTTTGCTAATGAGTTCTTCTTTCTCAATCACTGGAAAATAATGGCTAGCTAAAGCTGAGTGTTTGAATTTAAAGCAGAAAACAAAAAATAAAAGGGTATATTATTGATTCACTTTTCAAATTATTTTTGCAATTCTTTAATTCACAATTTTATATAAAATTATAATATTAATCCCTTTTTCAGACATTTTTAGAATATGTAGGAAAACACAGAAGGAACGATTCTGAGTTTTCACTACTTTTGGGTAACTCTGTACTTGGTTTCCTCCACTGATTTCATTACACAGTATAGAATGCAAGATATGAACTTTAAATAACTCTTTAAGATCACTAACACAATGGAGGGGCAATGCCCAAGGAAAAACAACGAAAAAGAACTTGTTTAATCTGAATGAAGCTCCAATAGTATATGACATTAGATATTTTTTATTAATATAAATTACACTGAATCTATATGAACAATATAATGCAAACACTATAGTAAACAAATATAACGTTTACTTAAAAACTTATTCCTTTCTACATTTCCTTATCATTCCATTTACATACAAGCCATTTTGAGGAAAAATAACTTTTCAACTCACCAATGTGGAGGTTTGTGAGGCATCAGCCAAATCCCCTGAGATCTCAGGTGTTCGCGTGTTGTTTGGGATTCTGTGAGGGTTACGGGCTATCGCTTCACACCAGCCCAGCATTTTCTCCTTCCTCTTATCCCTTTTCAATTTCTGAAATTCTGAAAATAATTTACATTCCCTGAAACAGGTCACTTATTTTAGTTGTCTTCTTTTGGAAAATGTACTTAATTGAAATTAAATAAGCGTTTTAATGATGTATTAATGGAGACATTTTATTTTAATCAGAGGTTACGAGGAGGAAAAGAAGAATATGCTGATTATTAATAATATCCCAAGACATAAGGCAATGGAAACAGCACATTATCTATTCAAAGAGCCTAACATCTTTTATACCCCAATTTGTGACACTTCTAGACGGTGGGAGTTCCTTGCATCAGGTTCTAAGAGTTATTTTCAAAGATTAGTTTATAACACAAGTTCTTACCTTGGGAGCCAAAAACATTTCCAGTTCCTATATATCTACACATTTCAATGACATCTAAAATTAGGCATAGCTTTTCGGCTGTGCCCTACAGATGCAAAATAAATTGAACACAGGTCAGTGATAAAGATTTCTCATTCTGGCAGTGGCATGATTATCTCCCTCATAAAGTTCTGCCAACTGAAGAAGGAGAAATTTTAGTGCAAGCATGGTAAAGGCAGTGTATGACATCCATCACCAGTATAGTCTATTCAAAAATAATAATTTAACAAATTTCCTTACTGTATCCTGAGTAAAAATATCCCACAACTCTTTCTAGATTTCCAGAATTTTCTATTTGGGGAGGTTTTTGTTTTTGTTTTTTTGTCTCTGAAAAAGTATTATCAACAATGACTTTTATGTAATGGAGAAAACATTGTTTCCCTTGTAAAGTTTTACAGCCTACTTTTCCACTCCACCACACTCAGTAATTAGAAATAGTTTATTGCAGGTCTTTAGTTAAATGCATTACACTGTCAATTAAATATCAAAAATAATGTGGAGTAATTATTTTTCACAGCATCCAAAGCAATTAGCAATCTGGTGGTTTATAACATTTCAGAGATTCAAAATAGCACATTTCATAGCACTAAGAAAAGTAACATAAAGAAAGGTTGCACTAACGGATTGATGAGTTATTACTCTAAATGACAAAATACTCAAGTTAAATGGATCTGAACAATGTAGATAGGGATTTTATTTAAAAAAAAAAAACAAAACAAACTTCAGGGGGACAGTTCAAGATGGCAGCCTAGGAAGACCCTGGACTCACCTCCCTCCATGCACACATCAAATCTACAGCCACGTATAGAAAAACTTTCTCTGAAAAAAATGTGAAAACCACCTGACCAGCTCCTCCACAACAAAGGACAAAAAGCATATTGAGATGAGTAAGATTCAGATATATGGTCTTACCCAAACCCTGCCCCCAGTGCGGAGACCCACAAGCAGGAACGATCTCACAAATAAGAAGCATATCCCTGAAAAGCAAGGGTTAAGAGTCCCACATCATGTTACTCAACCATTGGGACCTCCACCAGAGATGTAAACCCCCAAAAGTCTGGCTGTGAAAACCAAACAGTCTTATATCCAGGAGATCCAAACGGCCATAGGAAACAGAGACTTCAAACTTAAAGGGCTTGCACAGGCTTGCTTGCCCTGGAGCCCAGCACCAAAGCAGTAGGTTGAAAAGTAGTTACACAATGCATGAAGAAGATTCACTGGCTAATCTTAAAGCATCTCTGGAGGGTCAGAGGCATGTTGGAACTCGCTCCAGGAACAGAGGTGCTGGTGGGTGACATTTTTGCACTCTCTTTCTACGTTGCCATCACTGCCTACACTGACCCAGTGTTTCCCCTCAACCCAAACTGCTAAACCCAGCAGGTGGAGGTGTTCCATCCTGGTACTTCCCCATAGCCCAGGCTTGCTAGACCCAAAGGGCACGCATGCTCTGGCCTGGGGCTCCCCCATGGCCCCACCAAAGGCAACAGGTATATGCAGTTTTCTCAGGGAATGCCACTTGAATACCAGGTTCTGGTGGCCATGGGGGCTTGTGTTTCCAGCCTCCATGGGACTGAAAGAATCAAAGACACTTTTGGGCAGGCTATCACCCCAAGGCACTGAAATATTTGCCATTTTTCTGTGACTACTTCTTGAAGACATGGAGAAATAGCTGTTTTGCTTAATATACAGAAACAGAGAGAGTCAAGCAAAGTGAGAAAATAGAGGACTAAGTTCCAAATAAATGAACAAAGTAAAACCTGAGAGAAAAGCCAATGAAATGGAGCAATTTTCCTAGTAACATCATCAAAGTAATGGTTATGAAGATACTCACCAATATTGAGAAGAATGGATGGAAGGAATAAGAAATTTAACAAGGAGATAAAAAATATAAGAAAGTACCAAAAAGAAGTCACAGACCTGAATGATATAATAACCAAACTGAAAAATACACTAGAGGGGTTCAGCTGCAGACTAGTTCTGCAGAAGAAAAGATCAGTGACCTGGAAGACAAGGCAATGGAACTCACCCAAACAGAGCACAAAAAGGAAAAAAAAAAGTTCAAAAAGCGAAGACAGCTTAAAGGACCCATGGAACAACATTAAGCAAAACATTTGCTTTGTAGGGGCCACAGAAAAAATTAAAAATACCTTAAAACAAATAAAAATAAAAATTCAACATGCCATAATCTATGGAATGCAGCATAAGCAGTTCTAAGAGAGAGGTTCAGGCCTACCTCAAGAAACATGAAAAATATGAAATAAACAATCGAACTTTATACTTAAAGGAATGAGAAAAAGAGGAACAAACAATGCCCAAAGTTAGAAGAATGAAAGAAATAATAAAGACTAGAGCAATAATACATGAGATAAAGACAAAAAAAAAAAAAAGACAACAGAAAAAATCAATGAAACTGAGAACTGGTTATTTAAAAAGAAAAACAAAATTGATAAACGTTAGCCAGATTCACTAAGAAAAAAATGGGGAGGGAGCTCATATAAGTAAAACCATAAATGAAAGAGAAGTTACAATTGAACTCAAAGAAATACAAAAGATCCTAAGAGACTACTATGCAAAATTATATGCCAACAAATTGGATGATCTAGAAGAAATGGATATAGCCTTAAAAACACAATCTTCTAAGACTAAATGATAAACAAATAGAAAGTCTGAAGAGAACAATTACCAGCAAGGAGATTAAATCAAAACCTCCCCTCAAACAAAAGTCCAGGACCAGATGGCCTCACTGGTAAATTCTACCAAACCTTCAAAGAATATTTAATACCTATCCATTTAAAACTCTCCCCAAAAACTGAAGAGGAGGGAATCCTTCCAAACTCATTTCACAAGGCCAGCATTGCCCTGATACCAAACTGGAGAAGGACACTAAGAGAAAAAAAAAAAAAAAAAAAAAAAAAAAAAAAAAAAAAAAAAAAAAAGATATACCAAATATCCCTGATGAACACAGATGCAAAATTTCTCAACAAAGCATCAGCAAATCAAATGCAACAATACATTAACAGGAGCAAATACCATGATCAAATGGGAGTTATCCAGAGATGAAAGTATGGTTCGACATCTGCAAATCAATCAACATGATACACCACATTAACAAAATGAAGGATAAGAAGCATATATTATTATCTCAATAGATGCAGAAAAAGAATTTGAGAAAATTCAACATCTATGTTTGATAAAAACTCAAAAGCCTCCTCTCAGCAAAGTATGTATATAGGAAATATACCTCAACATAATAAAGGATATATGACAAGCTCACAGCTAACATCATACTCAGTAGAAAACGTTTTAGCTTTTCCCCCAAATCAGGAACACCACAAGGATGTCCATTCCTACAATTTGTATTCAACATAGCATTGAAAATCCTAGCCAGAGAAATTAGGTAAGAAAAATAAATAAAAGACATCCAAATTGGAAAGAAAGAAGTAAAACCGTCATTATTTATGGATGAGGTGATTTTATATATAGAAAAACCTACAGACTGAACCAAAAGTGTTAGAATAATCAAATTCAGTGAAGTTGCAATCTACAAAGTCAATATACAAAAAGCTATTGTTTTATCCACTTGTAACAAACTATCAAAAAGAGAAATTAAGAAAACTATCTCATTTACAACTGCATCCAATGGAATACAATACCTCAGAATAAATTTAACCAAGGGTGTTAAAGACATTTGCACTGAAAACTATGAGACACTGATGAAAGAAACTGAAAAAGACACAAATAAATGTAAAGATATTCCATGCTCATGGATTGGGAGAATTAATATTGTTAAAATGTCCATGCTACACAAAGAAATCTATAGATCCAATGTAATTAACCTCTATCAAAATTCCAATGGCATTTTTCATAGAAATAGAACAAATAATCCTAAAATTAGTATGGAGCCACAAAAGATTTCAAACAGCCAAAACAATCTTGAGAAAAAAACAACAAAGCTGGAGGCAACACGTTCCTTGTTTTCAAACTTTATCACAAAGCTACAGTGATCAAACAGCACAGTATTGGCCTAAAACAGAAACATAAATCAATGGAACAGAATAAAGTGCCCAGAAATAAACTCATGCATATACAGCCAATTAATTTATGGTGAACGAGATAAGAATATATAATGGAGAAAGGACATTCTTTAAAATAAATGTTGATGGGAAAACTCACAGTCACATATTTAAAAAAATGAAATGGGACCACTATCTTATATCATACACAAAAAAACTCAAAATAGATTAAAGGATTGAATGTAAGACCTGAAAACACAGAACTCCTAGAAGAAAACACAGGCAGTAAGCTCATGACATCACTTTAGGTGGTATGTTTTTGAATCTGACTTCAAAGCCAGTGGCAACAGAAGCAAAAATAAGTAAGTGGACCACATCAAAATAAAAAGCTGCACAGTGAAGGAAACCATCACCAAAATAAAAAGGCAACCCAATGAATGGGAGAAGATATTTGCAAATCATAACTATTATAATGGGGTTAATATCCAAAATATATAAAGAACTCATATAACTCAACAACAACAACAACAACAACAACAAAATGATTAAAAAATAAACAGAGGATCCGAATAGACCTTTCTCCC